GTCATATTCAGATTAGTCCCTCCTCGGAGAAACGCTGACCGCTGTCGAATGCCAGTCCCCTGATGAAACCCAGAAACGCACTAAATTAGACTCCGACAGCACTAGTAAGAATCAAATAGATGTCTCTGTTACGGCATTTTTTCACCACTTTAAAATAAATCGAGATTCTTATCAACATGATCTTAGATAAGGATCAAAGGTTAGGAGGGCAAACTACATATATTCGAAAAGGATCCTGCTCTTCTGGCGCTGTAGGCAAAATAAACTCTACGGTCCCATGTAAATTGCGGGAACTGTTAAAAATAGCACGTAAGAACAGATGAGTTCTGTTTGAAAATAGTTGCGAAGATCATATTGACAGCCAAGTGCCCTTATTAGTGCAAACAATTCCCAAGCATAAAAACGTCACATGGAATAGCGCTCACCGGTCTACTCTGATTTCAGGGCAGGAATAGAAAAATCTAAAATCGGTTGGTGGATGTCACTCCGTGGGATTTTAAATATTTCCTGCCAAAGCCGGCTGAAAGTCAAACTATGGTTTGAACGGTAGAGCACCCGAGTTAAATGCTGCCAGGGATGGATTTGGATTTCGAACAAACGATGAAGGTTAGCAAGATACAAACGAAAATTCCAAATTTCCAGTCCCTCTCCGATAACAGTACATACAGTACGTGACCTATCTCGTGAAATCTGATAACGAAAACTGATTAGACAATTTCTGGACGTCTTTAACATGGCGCATTTTGTTCGCTCAACCACATCCTTCGATGAAATGTCCTTTTCTTGTTCAGAAATTGTGTTTACGTTATAATATCAAGTAAAATATCAGTAAATTTTGGCGAAAATAGACGTTGGAACATATTCGTGCAATGTCCTACGCTAATACTTGTCCTAGACTCCAGTTACGCATCTGAGCGACTTTTCATCGAAAGGATAGTAATTCAACCTCGACAGTTTTAATAAACAGATTTAGCCGGACTAGAAATTTTATTTCATGTCCGATGTTGGCCATGGTTATCAACCTGCTAACAAAAAGGTTATTCTAAGAAAGCCGGGGGTTTTATCATTTCCTTTATGTCAAATTAGCAGATCTGTGCGATTTGGTGCCCTAAACTGCAATAATAACGCAGATAGAGATTCCTTCGTTTAAGTGGGCTGAAATTTTTTTGCCGTTTGGAAAATTCTACCTGATGTCACATAGATGACCATCACGGAATGGTCATTGTCAGCTTTAAACACATGAAACACTACTTCTCTAGTATTTTAGCTTCTGCGCACACTTTTCAGAAATAGAACGAGAAAAACATTTTTAGTTTCATCAAAATATCAGTATTTATATAGGCGTTCTGCCGTACACTCATAATCGAAGAACTGAGTCTAAAAGCGAGCAAAAACAGTGAAAATGGCCTCAATGTATAGAGAAGGGCACGTTCTTGCGTTTACGGTAGAAAAATGTTAGTATTGCCTAGTAACGTGAAAGAAACCGTCAAGTGTCAAATTTTTACTTGGCCTCGCTGTGCAAAAATGCAAAGTACACAGAGATCCGTCGACGGAGTTCAGTAATAAAGCACTTCCTAAAGAGGTAACTTATTAAAAAAGTCTTCTTACTGATCCAAGGCAAATTCATTGCTGACTTTCGTTGTGGACAGTCATTTTTCTCCAAAATGAAGTTTGATGTTTGAATTAGTCTTCAAGTGCGACTCGAACGGCCATCTTCGTGAAAAGGAGCGCCTAAACAC